GCCGAGCAGACGAAAGAACAGCGCAGGGTCCTGTATCGTTCCTCCACGAAGAGGGGGAGCGACATAATGGTACCGTGACTCGGATATGAAGCCTAGGCAGGGTTTAGTGTCGTTCCTCCATGAAGAGGGGGAGCGACACTCTTGCATTTTCAGATATGTCCTTTACCAGATACATGATTTACAAACATCTTCTCTTTGTTGCAGTATTTTCTCACAGTATACAAAGAACTATATGGAGGAACAAACACTTTTAATTTTTGTGAAGTTGGTAATGATGACATGAATTTTATATAGTTTTTTACCCTCCATCTCCACTCCAAGACTAAAGGACCGTGATACATAAAGATACGTGATAAAAATACCTTCAAAACCAGACTAAAAGGGACAATTCACATATTTGACTTCATAAATGTTCATCTCTGAAAGAACTGCTACTGCCCCTCTCTAAATCCCTCTTTAGGAACAATACCTGGGTCTCCTCTAAGGGAAGTATTCTGTGACTTTTTGAGTTCCCACTGCACAACTTCACAACATAGAACTTTGTCCAAGATCAATTTTGCTTGGAAAATTTTCAAAGCTGGTGTTGATAGCTACTGCTTGCTGTCACTGCAGGAAAGTCATCTGAATGAATGCTGCTAAAGACAGTGGCTGGCACTTAGAACTAACCAACAAACAAGCAGCACAATTAAACTCTATTTCTGGCACTATTGTCAGGGAGCTGTCTATAGAGACCATCTCTCACTCATAGAGTTGAAATGTGGTTTCAGTAGATGTGATTTATTTGTATTACTCTCTATAAAGTGGAGGGGGGGATGTGCAAAAGGCAATCAGAGACAAGCTTGCATGGATGCAAGGCATTGATGACAGAGGTAATAAACAAGGATCAAAGACAGAGAAGATTATAGGAAGGGTTAAGAAATATAAGAAATAGTGTGTGAAGATTAAAGGGATATAAGTAATCAATTAGGAAATTTGAGAGCAAGATTAGATCTGATAGCAGCTGTGGGCAATCTAATGGAAGAACCTTGGTTCTCACTGAAACGCATTTGTTCATAGGTACATTTTAAAATGGCTGTAAGCTCTTAGTTCTTAAGTTCCCAAAACTGTTAGAATGGCACTATCTTTAAGATACACACATAGTACATTTTCTCTGTGGTGAGTATTATAAAGGACATGTCATACTAAATTGAATTTTAGTCTCAAAATATATACTAACATATAGTCACTTGGGCAAATATTCTGCATTCCCAAATAGAAGCAGTTTATAATCTCTTGAGAAGATAATATTGACACTCTTCAAATGAAGCCATAAAGATTATCTTTTGTTTCCTATTGTTTATTCTTTTCCTCATCCCTCCTTTATTGGGCCTGCTCTCCTTTGGGAAGAAAACATATCTCAGGGAAGTACAATGAGCTATGTAAAGATTCAACTGTATAGTATTTAGTGGTAGGGCAAATTAACACAATAGAATTAACAGCATAGAATTTGTATATTTATACAATATACTCTCATTTATTTTCTCACTATTTAGAATCCTGAATTTGATCTTTTATAAAAGGTTTATAGACCTTTGCATCATACAATTTTTGAAAGTGTCTTAGCTTAGGAAAGTAATGATAACAATTCACATTTATTAAATAACAATACACTGGATGGTGTTAATTGCTTTAATTAGTTGATCCTATTTAATTACCGCTACCCAACCATGAGCAGGCTCTTCCCTACTGACTCTGTCAAGTGAGACAGATGCTCAAGTTCATATGGTTAGCACATGGCGGAGCTAGGGTTTTCATCAGATATGTCTTAACTCAAGACTAATGCTCTTAGCCTTTATTTCTCATTTTACCAAATAGCACTCCATCCAAGCCATCGCTTTATCAGATGAGCCCAAGAGTAAGACTGCATGTGGAACATTATTGGTTTCCCAGTGGCAGTACAAAGATCCGTGGCCCTCCTGATGTCTTTCAACTACCCTTTTCATTCACTTTACCACATAAAATTCAGAATCCCAGGGTTCCTCAAACACTTTCATTCTGTATCTAACAAATGCTTCACGTTGTACTTACATGCAGTTTTCTAAGCTCTTCACACAGTTTATCTAATGTAGTCACCACAACAACCTTGCAGATACGTTGCACTCTTATTGCCATTTCATGGGTGGGGATCCAAGGCAGAGAAAGCCTACAGCACAGGAATGGTGAGTAATGTGCAGATGTGGAACTGAGGCAGAGGATGGCAACAGCACACGACGGGTGAGTGGTACAGTTGGAATGGAGTCCAGGCGTCTGGTCCTCATAGTCACACTTTCAATAATTTAGTTGGGCTGCTTCTCACTCAACCATGGCTAGTAGGTAGGAAGACTGCTTTTTCCACTCTATTTAACCACATGTGAAATATCTCATTAAATTATGAGGTAGAAAAATCTTGACTAGGAAGTTGAACAAGAGATATGTTGTGGATTGAAAGCTATGTGCACCAGTGACCTTCAGTGCTTGATACAAGGAAACTCGGTTTCCACAGAGTAAGAGTTCTTCTCTATTTACTTCCCAGTTTCATTTAAATGAGCAAATTTTTAAAAAAGATACATATAAAATACTTAAAGTGAAAAAATATTAAAATGTTGTCATTTGATTATTTGTGAACATTTAGCGTTATTACCAACAATATCCACATGTTTAAGGCATTTGTATATCCATATCAAAACACAATATGTGCTACAATTCTGTTACACCAGTATGCATTAAGAATTGATGAAATAGTTTTATAGTTTATGTTCATTTTTCCTTCAATAAATATTTTTTGAAAACCTTAAATGTAGGGATATCAGTTCTCAAGATCAACTCATGATCATTTCATTCACAGTTTGATGAGCACTCTTGTTCATCCAGAGAGAAGACCTTGCTCATTTTTAAATGTTGTGCTTATGTGCTTAGTACAGTTTAGAACACATCACAGAGGACTGATGAGTGATTCTTAAATCCAGTGGAATAGACACAATAGAAAACATACAGCTTTCCTCCATTTGTTAATTGTAGGAGCCTTTATTATTTTAATCTTATGTTCCAATTCTCGGAAAGAATTTTGTGTCCAATCACTACTTAAATTTAATATGAATGTGTTTGCCTTTGTCTCTTCACACTGATAGAACTATTGGTCTTGTATTGAATTAGACATGAAGGATGGCACTATGTACTTTACTAAGTTACTAGAGAATTAAAGGACAGTTGTGCGGAGTAGTTTGGGAAGTCTTGCAATCACTCGGCATTAGTCTACAATAACAGCACTTTCCTGATATCAACATTGGCATTTTTCATGAGTTGTTGTTAGAGGAAGGAAGGAAGGGCTAAACCTCAAATACTGATGGTTTCAACCAGCCAGATTTGATTTTTTCTTCTTCATTCCCTTAGCCTGGTTTTCTCATTAGACTTGAGCTTCATTGGAGTTCAGTAATTTGCTTCTGTTTACATAAAGTATTTTGGCTGAAATGAATAAAAAATAGTAATGAAGTCAGAGGAAAATATAAGTAATGTGTCTGTATTCTCTCCATGTTAAATCTATGGAAAAAGTAGTCATTGTAGAGTGGTGACTTTCCTCAAATCATTCAATTAGATGGTAGGTGAGTTGAAACTGAAGTTAACATGGATTTGTTTCCATTACAGAACTTATTTTACAACTAAAGTTATTTGGGATGACACTATGCCAATATCCCAAACTTGTATATTGCATTAACTGAATGCATGCACACACACACACACACACACAGCTTTTAAATAACAGTAAAGCTGGAAGACATCTGCAAGTACATGTTCCAGGAACTCCACAAAAAGTCACATTCTGTCTTACACTATACAGAAAACACTTGAGTGCATTGTATTTTTCTGATTTTTATGAATGAGTATAAAATTTTCTGATTTTTATGGCTGAACAGGATAAAATGTATTTCCAGTATCATCACTGGTAATTACAGATGCAATTTTCACTGTAGAGTTTTTCACTATGCATTCTCAATACCAACTATTTTCCCTATGATTTCTTCTATGTCAATGTATTGCAAAGAAATGAGAATTCAGGGACTGTATGCATTTGCAATTTGAGAGAGAACTTGGAAGAATAGCTGTTGGTTTGAGGAGGAAAAAACTTAGATAGACAATCATTATTTTTCTTACTGCCTGTATTAAATGGTGATAAAAAATATCATTAGGACCAGAACATGTACTCTTCAGGGAGATGAATCCTAGCTCAGGTTAATAGGGGCTTTCTGTCAAAGCATCATTGAAATGGAATCAGCTGCTAAGTCATGCATTCCCTATCATCATATGTTTTATTATCTCAGTCTATGATTCATTTTCCTATTTCGTCTCTTCTCGCCTACAATTCTCTCATATACAAGCATTGCTGTGTTACCAACCATGTGCTAGGCATGATTTTAATTGAAAATAAAGGCTAGAATAGGCCCATATTTCTTATAATTCTCAATTCAGTGGTGGATACAAAACTTAGATAATTACAGCATGGTATGACAAATGTAATGAAGATGCACAGAGAAATTCAAGAACACACGGAGGAGGAAATTTCACAGATGAAATAAAGTCAAAGCTAAGAGGCCAGAGTTGCAGCATATCAGGTAAAGCCACCACTTGCAATGCCAATATCCCACATGGGAGTGTTGGTTCAAGTCCCAGCTGCCCCACATCTGAAGAAGCTTCCTGTTTATGCACTGGGGAAAGCCTCAGAAGATGAGCCAAATACTTGGCCCCATAACACTCATGTGTGAGAAGAAAATGGACTTCCAGGACCCTGGGTTTGGCTTTGCACAGCCCAGTATGTTACAGCCATTTGGGAAGTGAATCTCTCTCTCTCTCTCTCTCTCTCTCTCTCTCTCTCTCTCTCTCACACACACACACACACACACACACACATACACACAAACGATTTCAAATAAATTAATTATTCTTGTTTTTTAAAGCTAAGACTCAACATATGCATCAATGTGTTCTAGGTGAAGGAGAAGGGGCCATGGAGGAAGATGGACTTTCTGAGCAGAAGAAATGCATGGCAAGGAGGTGCACATGGGATCTGGTCGTGAAACACGGTAGGAGAAGTGTTGCTGAGGGAAACTAGCACACACAAAGTACGTTAAGTTAAACATTCATATCTCTGTTTACCTGTAAATTTGCCCTTGCTAATTTTGTTTCTTTTTTGGACTTTGGAGCTGGAAAACTAAATTAACATCAGTTGTGAAGAAGGGAAAGGGTTTTCCCAGAAAATACAATGGTAGCTCCAGTGTGAGGAAACAAAGTATTTCCCAAAATTGATACGGGACAGGGAGCTTAGAACCACAAAACCGGGAATTACAAGTTATAAGCTCCTGCCCCATGTAATTCTATCTTACCTGTCAATCAGAATAGCTCCTTTCCCAGGATGCATTGTTACGTCCTGAACCTGACAAAAAGTCACCATGTCACTATGTGCATTAAGCTCCATATGGAACTTTGTGGAGGCAATATAAAATCCCAGGTGACTCCACTACCTCATAAAAGGAGGAGCTACCTGCATGGGAGACCTGGAAGAAGCTCCTGGCTCCTGGATTAGGATCGGTGCTGCTCTAGGCATTGCAGCCAGTTGGGGAGTGAACCATCAGATGGAAGACCTCTCTCTCTCTCTCTCTCTCTCTCTCTCTCTCTCTGCCTCTGCTTTCTCTCTGTGTAACTCTGACTTTCAAATAAATAAATAAATCTTAAAAAAATAAAAGGGGGTGTTAGGGAGTGCTCCTCCATCCTGAATGAGTGACCAAGACTAAATGTGGTGCTAAGCTGCTCTCTTCTTCCACTCCCCCACCCATTTCTCCATCTGGAAGCTCCAGTCCTCACCTATGTCCACATGTGTGCTTGCTGTCTCAACTTCCCCTTTTAATTAAAAAGATTTGTTGATTGATTGATTGATTATTGATTTGAAAGTCAGAGCTACAGAAATTGGGAGAGAGAGCCAGAGAGAGAGAGAGAGAGAGAGATCTTCCATCCACTGGTTGATTCCCTGGCTAGCCCAAACAGTCAAGATGAGAGCCAGGCTGAATCCAGGAGTCAGGAGCTGCTTCTGAGTCTCCCACGTGGGTGGCAGGGGCCCAACTGCTTGGGCCACCTTGCTCTGCTTTTTCTAGGCCATATCTGGGCAGATGGGCCAGAAGTGGGGCAGCTAGGTCTTGAACCAGTGCCCATATGTTATAGGCATCCCAGGTAGCCAGTGTACCAGCTACATCACAATCCTTTCACCAACTGCTCATCTTTTAAATAAGCTTTTTGCACCATGTATGTGCCTGTGCTTAGAATACACCTCTATGTACAAGACAAGGGCCTGGAATAAATGTTTAGATCCCTACCTCCCCAATCTCAATCAATGTTAACTCCTAGGGTTAGGGCAGGAGGATTAGGATAGATCTTATCTTTCATTCAACAGAGGACTGAGAATCACTCCAGTAACAACAATTCACATGTCATGAGAAAGCTAAATGATGGTGTTCATTATGGCAAGTAAATATGGCTGGAGTGATGTAATAGTCTCTTCCTTCCATCTTGGAGGCCTGCTACTCATCCTTTGAACTAACGCTTGGTTCCCTCACACCTAGATTCCAGAATTGCTTAATCTGAAGGGACAGTACCAGTGCAGTAAAACTGAGAGCTTAAGATGAATGGTTAGAAATCTTGAGTCTCTTATTTGATCTTGCTTAACACTTAAATTATCTATCTTTCTGTGTCCTAATCGTGTATTTTATTCAATACTTTAAAGCAATTTAGTATGTGTGTAAAACAAAAAAGCTATTAAAGCAGAGAAACAAAAGGTCTTATTTTTGTTACTCTAGTGCATCTTAATTTGCACATTATTAGGTTAAATACTCCTTGATAATATTATTTTATTTCTGGGGAATTCAAGTGTCAATATGCCCTAGGAGAACGTGAGTTTTAAGTGAAAGGATGTATGTGTGTGGCAGTGATATGCCAACTGACAGGACAAATGCATTGCATCAGGTTCTCATTTAATTTTCACAATAGATCTCTGGGGTACGTTTGGAATTCTCATTTTATAAATGCAGACAATAAAGATCAGAGATATTTAAAATTGCCCCAAGCTTAGCAGAATTGGAAATGGATGGAAAGGGGATTTAAAGGATAGTTTAATTACTCCAAGTCTATTTCTATTTTTTGAAAAGGCAACAAAATGAAGCTGTGACACTGAACGGCAACTTCAGAATGATCCCCATGGCCCACGGGCCTGCAGGGATCGCTCACTTAGAAGCGTGCTCTAAATTTCAAAGTTTAACCTGCTCAAGCACATACTACAAAGGTTCTCTGGACTCCCAGCTTTTCATAAACTATCAGATGTCAGAAGGCCAAGAGTTGTGGCCTGCACTGTGGAGCACCAGGTTCAGCAGCTGCCTGCAGCACCAGCACCCCTTATGGGCAGCAGTGCCAGCTGCTTCACTCCCAACCTAGCTCCCTGCAAATATGCATGAAAAAGCAGTGGAACTTAGCCCAAGTGCTTTGCCCCCTGCCACCCACAATCCTGGCTTCAGCCTGGGCCAGCAACAGCCTTTTGATCATTCGTGGAAGGAATAGTAGATGGAAACTTGCTCTCTTTCTGTAACTCCACCTTTCAAATCAATAAATACATCTTTAAAAAAAGACTAATATCTCTACACTCTGTTTAAAAAAAGCAAAGAGTAAATGCAATGATTTCCACAAACTGTCTGAAACAGTGCAACTCTCAATTAGCCAGTACTCTGGGGAATAAAACTACGTGTCACTCAAAGTTACAACTAGGTTCTTAGCAGCTTTACCTAAATAGATTCTTACATGAAAAAAGGACAGAACAAAAGAGAATTACCCAAGCAGAGAGCATCTAATTAGTGTGTGATGTCTCAGAGGCCTCATGAAAATTCCTTTCTAAATTGAATCATAGAAACTCTGAGATGACAATTTCTACCTGTGAACCATCACCTTTGACACATCCAAATCTGGTAGATATTTTGGTCTTCTCCACTGTTTTCTTTGTTACTATTCTGGCCTGAAAATATTCGTAGTATTGAATATATTAGGTGAGATGAGGAGCTATGTGCATGTAGTTCAAAGAATGTGTATTATGATGTCTTACTTCTAGACTCACAGAATTTGAGGACAGAATACTTATGACTTTCAGTCTCTCTCTTGCTCTCAACTGCAAGTAAGAAAAATAGGTTCAGAGAAGTCCTGATTTCTCATGATTCTTGTTATAATTGCATTTGGCTTGAGTGCCATTTGTGTGCTGCATCAGGGAATCTCTGTTAACACGTGTGTTGGGTGTGTGTGTGGAGGGTGTGTGTGTATGTACTGGGGATCACCTACAGCTCCTCAGGCCTGTCAGTAAACTGATTCACTTACAATGTGGTAGTAAAGCAATACTCACACTCACACACACACATACTCAGTATAGTCATAGGTGTAGTGGTGTAGAGTGAGAGTAAGAGGTGGCTAACTCTGGAGAATCAGATAAATGTCACAGAAAAAATACACTTGGAACTGAATCTTGAACAATGAGACTTTTTAGTGAAGAAAAGAGTGAAGGTTATCTCTCTTTTTTTAAAGACAGAGTTACAGAGAGAGGTAGAGACAGAGAGAGGTGTTCCGTCCACCGGTTCACTCCCCAGATGGCCGCAACAGCCGGAGCTGCGCCATCTGAAGCCAGGAGCCAGGAGCTTCTTCCAGGTCTCCCATGTGGGTGCAGGGGCCCAATGACTTGGGCCATCTTCCACTGCTTTCCCAAGCCACAGTAGACAGCTGGATTGGAAGAGGAGCAGCTGGGATGCTGGTGCCTCAGGCCAGTGCTTTAACCCACTGCGCCACAGCACCAGCTCAGAAGGTTATCTCTAATAGAAACTGTGTATAGTAGGAAAAATTTGAAAAAAGCTGTCTTGGAAGATAATATCTCCAAATACACATCAAGATCTTGTACTTAGGAGTGCCCAGAATGGTGCTTGAATTAATCAATGTAGGAAGGCAAGAGGAGAAAACAAAGTGAAATTAGAAAGTCAAAAGGATGCAGGGAAATAAGGGAAGATAAGTATTAAATGTAAATTATACCTCCATCACTATCTCAAGGGTAATTCTTCTGTTCTCATTAAGATAAGTGGAAATGCTGGTCTTTCTGTAGCTTCATGAAAGACAAGTCTAAAAATTCCCCTGGATGAGGGAGAATTACAACTCATCTCTCAAGATGAAATCCATATTTGCCATAAGGCATCAAAAATTACATGATTCTGCCTTCCTTATTGGTGTAAATTTCACACCTTGCTACCACTATTTCAACACATCAATACATAAGGTCATAGCCTAACCTAACAGGTGGCTCTCACTACATGCACATGTCCTCTCATTGATTATTCTCTCATAGTTCATGACAACTAGTACAATTTTACTAAAGTTTTCTTTTCTATGCTAAGGTAATTCCGGTGACACTCAACCCATGAATGATTCCTGTGTTGGTCTACTGAGGATGCTATAACAAAATGCCATGGACTGGGTGGCCCAAGAAGCAAAGAATAAAAATCTATTTTTATCAAAATTCTAGAGGCAAGTTTACACCAGGTTGGTTTCTGGTGAGATCTCCCTCTCTCTGAGGCTTGCAGAGGAAAGCAATCCCACCATGTCCTCACATGACTTATCCTCCGTGCTCATGGTGTATCTTCCATTTTTTCTAAGGATGCTAGTTGTATTAGGTTGAAGTCCTATCTTTACAATCTCATTTAACATTAACTACATGCTTACACATCCTATTTCCAAGTACAATCAAATTGGGGGTTAGGCTTCAACCTCTGAATTTCAGACCTTAACACTGCCTGTGATATGGTTCAAGTGTTTTTCATTTAGAATAATCACACAAATTTTTCTGTGACAGCACTTTTGTCTATGTTTTGTTATTTTTTATCTCTCCTCCAATATCTTAGAACACATTTTATAAATCTACCGGTAGTCTATAACACAGTACCACCCAGTGTGTGCACATTATATGTTTGCTAGGGAAATAAATGGAGATATGAGTGAATGATGAGTGAATGACACCATGAAATTCAAGTCAACTCTGAAAAGTTCCGATTGCATCACATTATTAACCTAACCACAACATGACTTAGAAATTAAATTAATAAAGCAACAAAAAACATTGACTTCACATGCAATTGCTTAATTTTACATCTTTTACCATTTTACTTTACCAATGAATGATACTTGAATGTCAGTCTCTTCAATTAAATGGGTAGCTTCATGGGAAAAAGGGCCATAAATTTTATCACTGTATTGCTCGTAGGTACACCCAGTAGTTCCTCACAAAGTGATAAGGAGCAGAGAAGACAACATATCATTATTTTGGGGGAATGCTTTACATCAGAAATTTTACACTTTTTAATCATTTGATTCTCACAAATAACTTTACAATGAGATGTTATTTAATCATGATATAGTTGAGCACACTGATGTTAAGGAAGAATAAGTCCACATTTCCAAAGCATAGGAGACTAAATATTACAGCCATCATTGCTTTCATCTCTTTATATAATGATGAGGAATCTATTTCCCCACTTCTAACCAATAAAAAAGTAGCAGAATGACTCCTGTATAATTTAAAATCTTTACTTGCAGTTCCTAAGTCCACATGGGAGAGTAAGTTTATGTGGGATTTTTCTCCATCCCTTATCTGAAATCTCAGATGCCCACAGTTACAAAAAGGATTCTAGAGAAGGCCTAAAGGGAAACTGCCAAATGAGCTAAACTCTACTTGTGAATACAAAGAATAATGAACAATTATATAGCTGTTTTATGCTAGCATATTTCATGAAGGTTTGTTACACAAAAAGAGACAGAAATAGCAAGGAATGGGCAGTGTAGCAAGTATGGGGAAACTTCAAAAAGTTCATGGAAAAGTAAATCAAAAACTAAATTTGATTTAGGTCAAAAATAATTTAAATTCATAGAAAGTTTTCTCAAAATATGCACTTTAATTGAAATCTGAGTATAGATCTACCATATGTTCTACCCATCCCACTCCTGGGAATTTATCCCAGTGAAAACAAATCATCATATGAGAGTTATCTGTAACCCCCATGTTTACAGCAGCTCAATTCAAAAGAGCTAAGATATGGAGTCAATCCAGAAGTCTGTCCACTGATGTTTGAATAAATACATTATGGCATATATATATATATATATATATACACACACACACACTATAGAGTACTATTCGGCTGTAAAAAGAGAAATCATGCCTTTTGCAACAAAATGGATCCAACAAACTTAGAGTGAAATAAGCCAGTTCCAAAAAGACAGATATTATAATTTTTCCTGATCTGGGGTAAATAATAGAGTACCTGAAATGTGAGTATTGGAGTGAAAAGGACACTTTCAGATCTGATGATTGTTGATAGCCCCTGTCTCTACTGTTGAAGGACAAGGTTTTTTTTATTGCTGGTCTTCATACTGCTTGTCGAACTCTTTAATTAGTGTAGGGTTAACTTTATGAGTATAAAGAAACTGAAAATAGATCTCTATAAACAGTGGAAATAGGAGAGAGGAGAGGAAAAAGGGTTGGACTGTGGCTGAGAGGAAGGGCAGGTGGGAAGTATCATTATGTTCATAAATTTGTTTATATGAAATACATGAAACTTGAATACCTAAAATAAAATTATAAAAAAAAGAATTAAAAATTAACTTTGTGAAGACCTCATGTCCTCCCACCACCACAAACTCATGTCTAGTAACAATATTAAGTTTCACTTCATTTATCCTGAATCTATATATTTTTCAATGTGTATTATAGTTTAATTTAGAGGTGCTTGAATATTACTTTTAACATAGTATTAATTTTTTTTTTTTTATTATTGCTGCTGTTACTTAAACAGTCCAGTATTGTAAAGTTCCATGATGGCAGGGATAGGCAGTGTCTACCTTCTTATTGGTAAATCACTCAATTTAATTACACAGTGGTGTGTTTGCTATATGCTGGATGATTTTTTGAATTATGTGGTGAGTTAATTATATCTATAAAATTATCAGACCATTGAAATCTTTGATGTCATATAGAAAAAGATATGAATGAATCATTGTCTTTGGAAGTATATCAAGGCAACTATATTAGCCATAGTTTAAATAGGGACAGGAGGACCAGAGGCAGGTACAGACTTACAGGAAATATTCTTTCAATAAAAATCCTCAACATAGAGTCTCAGCATTTCTGAGAATATTTAATAATTGAGTAACATAATATGTCTCATGGACTCTGCTTGCTTCTTTTTAATCCTAGAATCACAACTAGCAACAATGCTACATAAAAAATAAATAAATGCTTAGTGACTATAAAAATAAGAGAAAACCAAACCCTTCAGATTCACACAACAATGTTTTTGACTTCCTCCACTTCGCCTAATTCTCAGGTACATAGCAATTCACTTCTGTATATACTCATATTAGTACAAGACCCAACAAAAAAATTCTTACTCCTGAGTGTGGGAATATCCTGGTATAAACTTTCGGTGCTGTCTCTCACTTCAGTTTGGGCACAAAAATTTTACTTAACAGTAACCCAGTCACATTCACATGTTGGTCACACTTTTCCCTGTGTGCATTGAAAGAGTTCCCTGCCAAAATGAACACATTGCATGGAAGTAGAGTATATGCTCTGCCTGTTTGAACCACAAGGGAGAGACAGCATTTTGTTCTGAGAAGGACCATATGTGGCACATGGAAACAACAAACAAACACTTTCATCCTTGTTAATGTAATGTTCCCAGAAATCTATTTATGAGGACTTGATATTATGATAGGGAGGTTATCAGTTTAGTCACCCAGCATTCATTTCCTCTCCTTCCATGAAACATATTATTCTTCTGTTGCGATTGTCTTTTTGTTGTTGTTATTCTTCTCATGGTTGATATATCTTATATCTAAAGTTTAGGCAAAACTATAACTATTTCAGAGAATTTTTCTCATTCATCCTATCTAAAGAGGATTTCTTCAACCTTTAACCAGAGCCTAAACATTTTCATATTACTTTGTTTTATTTTCCTCATAGTAGTCAATGCTTAAATGATCTTGACTCTTCACTTCTAATTTGTTCAGTTTTTGTATTATACCATTGGAATCCTGCTAGAAATGTACCCTTTGTCTCATGTTTATCATTGCACCCCAGTGCCAAGAATGGTAATCATCATAGGAAGGCGTTCAAAGTTTGTTGGGAAAATAAGAAAGGGAAAAAAATTTGGGGGCTAGGAAGTTTAATTCACATGACTGATGATGAACAGGAATAAGCCACATACTTGTTTTTTTTTTATTTCAAAGACCAATGTGTATTGCACTGATTAATGTTTGCTATCTGCTAGCAGGTCCTGATGTCCTGATTTTAGGTTAGCCTATTGTCTTGTACAATGTAAATAAACATAAACATATATATGTGTGTGTGCGTATGTGTGTGTGTAAATATATGTATATTAAATGCTTGGGTAATATTATAAGAAATGCATAGTTCAAATCTTGACACATTGGGTATCAGATTTGAGTCTCTGTTGAGAACTTCTAAAACTCTTCTACCAACATTCATGGCCTTGTAATTTTTAGCAAGGACCAACAAAATGCACTTATGAATTATGGAGTGTGAGAATGGTGAAAAATGAGATTCCTAAAATAAAACAGGAGTCACTGTTTCGCAATACAGGGTTTCTGTCTTTGTTGCTGTGTCTGACTTGCCTTTTTCTCATCTTCCATCTCTTGTCACCCAATTTTGAGAGTCAAGTGTTTTGTGCATTGTGATTTTTTAAAAAAAAAATTCTCTGATGGGTAAAAGCCTATGCAGTGAAGCATGTTGTCAGACTTGAGCTATTTGTCACCAAATGGTGGCACTCATCTCTGCCAAGTAGCACGGTCTGAGTCATGTCTCTGCTTTCAACAAAATGTCAGTGCTATTTGTCACCATCTAATATCTGGGCCATATCAAATCACCACTGCTTGCCTTGGGTCACACTGCTGGACAGAGAGGAGTCTTCAGTGATTCTTTGAAATTATTCCACCAAATAGCTCTTCAGCTTTAGCCCACCCACCAGAGGAAAGTAAAGTTTGCAAATGTTCAGCATATTACAACTGATGACAAGATTCAATTCACCCAATCATTAGTCTTCCTGCTCTCTAGTACTGTTTTTTATCCACAGTAGTCTTAACTGATATCAATCAAACACTTATGACACAGGATTATCAGTTTAACTTTTTCTTCAAGGATTCAGTAATGAATGAGAAATACAGAATAAAGGAGCAGTCTAACAAAAGATTTCTATGGGAAACTGTGGCCGATATATTAGAAAGAACCTTACCTTAAGCAAAGACAGGACTTAGGACAAAGACACAAAGCCAGAAGTGATTTTGAGTACTGTCAATTGTGATCAGACATAGGTTTCCTTAGTTCATAATGTGTGTTACAATGAATTGTAGCAAACCCGGAAATGAGAATGTAATAAAAGTGATAGGAGGACAAATTACTTATTGTGCACGATACATAGTATAATATTCACTAGTTAAATGTCTGGGGTTTGGTTTAAAATACCCCAGACATTTGGAAAGTGGGGAGGAGATGGACAATACACAGTTGGCAAAATGTTGATTATTGTTGGGACTGTGAATTGAGGACATGGGGATTCATTATACTATTTCTCTGCTTTGTGTTCATTGGAAAATTTCCATGGTAAGAAATTTTAAAAAATGGAAAAACACTTCTTTTAAAAAAGAAAAAGAACATTCCAGTCAAATTTCTGTGAGTCCCTAGCATCTTTTTCAGAGAGTCACTAAAACTTCTGTAGGTTTCTACTGCACTCAATAGTATGTACACTCAAAAGTCAGGAACCAGGAGGCAAATCAAGATAAATACAGAAAAGGTAAAAATATGCTCAAACTTACCAGTGACAGCACTGTAGCACAGCAGGTTAAACCACCTATAGTTCTGGCATCCCTTATAGCTGCCAGTTCAAGGAGTTTGCTGCTCCACTTCCAATACAGGTCCTTCTTAATGCAACTGGGAAAACAGTAGAAGATGTCCCAAGTGCTTGGGCCCATGCCACCCATGTGGCAGACCCACATGAAGCTCCTGGCTTCAGCCTGGCCTAGCCCTGGCCATTTGAATAATAAACCAGCAGATGGAAGATTTCTCTCTGCCTCTCCTTCTCTGTAACTCTGCCTATCAAATAAAAAATAATAATAATTCAATTATTTAAGAACGTATCCAAGTGGCAGTGACCCTTTTTCAGAAAAGTTAAGACATATGTGCACTTAAACCATCGGAAGGAATTTTGATGGCTGTCATCCTCTTTTGTAGGTCATTCAGTTCCCTGACCTCAAGGATATCTAACTCATTGTTGCTGGCACAAGTATTAATTTTAATGAGGTGCTTTCCTGCTTCATCTGTCTCACCAGTTACATCACCAGCTTCTTCATGTTACAAATCCTCTCTTATGGTCATTTTTTATCTACAGGGGCAATATCTGTGTGTTTTACATTGAGAGTGTTCAAGGGATCAGTCAGGCAAAAACAAAACAAAGAGATGGACAGAAAAAAATTCATTTGACAAGAAAAATGGATGTTCAGCATCAAAGAAATTGATATTTTATTGTGATTGCCACTGTGGAGGTGAGGTTTTCTCCCATTTCCAAAGAACTTCCATGCAAGTCACATCCATAGAATGTTTGGTTTGTCACACACAGTATGTTTAGAATAACCAGATATTCACTCAAATCAAACATTTTATATCTTTCCTTAACTTAAAAACTTAATGATGCTCCTAATGCAAACAATTATTTTCTGCAGTATACAATGCTAGTGAGGCATATTCTTTCTCTCTTGACAGTTCCACGTCTACCCACCAAGATTCTTCCTTCAGTTTTAAAGTTCCAGGTCCACTGGTGTTACTCAACTTTGGGACTTATGCATTTTTTCCAAGATTTTTCTATTACTTGATTTCTTTTACCTCTTTCCTATTCCCTTGCAATGCCATGAACACAAATCCAAGGCAATCTTCCTGTATTATCCTATATGCAAACACCAAAAATGTCACTATTAAAACATGCCACGATTTTCACTTTTATATTATTTTTCTTTATCTCCCTTGGGTGATACTGAACCTCATAAGAGAATGCAGGATTATCTTGTTTACTACTGAAAACCCAAGTTCCCAGCACAATGTCAATTACATATGAGGCACATTATTACTATCCATTGAATGAAGGAGCAACAGAAGAAACAGTATCTGAGTGAAAACAGAATTGTCATTAACTTGCTATGTAAAAATCTTGGCGAGATCTCTTACCTTCTATGAATTTTTTTAATAATGCCTCCTTGTTGGTATTTCATATTAAGATTTCTTAACACAGTTGTGAGTTCTGGTGATATTTATTGTCATTGTAACTGTGATAACTGATCTTTATGATATACTTCTATTGTAGGCTAGTTTTCTTAAAATCTTGCTTGCTATTTTTAGCATATGCTTGTTAAGGAAGTCATTAGGAAAATGTTAACTCCTATCTGATTTGAAAATTAGCAAAGGAATAATGTACAGGTGTTTCAACAAAATCTTCTGCTGTGT